TGTGATTGGATATTTTTTATATTTTTAATTTTCTTTTCTGATTAATGATATTTGATAATATCTTCGGAAGCAATATGTTGCAAGTCAACTTTCTAAATTATGAAATAAAATCTAATAATATGTTAATTAATAAGCAGACAATATTCAATATCCGTTTTCTTCAAAAACATATTTGCAATGTAAAGAATCCAATCAGCATTGCAAGATATATGTACTATGTAGAATTAAGCTTCTTAGATTTTGAACATAGCAAAATATATCATATATTTTGGAAATTTTGAAGATATTATAATGCTAGAATAATTTGGTTCATATAATATGAAAATCGCTATTTATCATTTTATGTAGAAAGTCATATAGTGATAATTTTTAAAAATAATAATTTCATGCGTCTTATTCATTTCAACAATAAATTTTCTGTATAAATTTAGATTTTTATTGTTGCTAAATTACACAGTTATGACTTTAATTTTTGTCACATATATTAGAAATATAAAATTTAATACAAATATGTTAAAACTTTGAATCATGAGAAAAACTGATTTTATGAGGAAGATTCTGCTATTTTAGTTTTGAACAATTTATAATTTGTTATTTTAAGTAAGTGCAAATAATCAAAAAATTACTTGTGAAAGATGATCTCAAACTGAAATTTAGTACAAATTGATGATATTATATATAATAGGATATATTGCTGCTGTAATGATGATATATATATAATAGGATAAAAAGAAATGGATTAAATAAATAGTAGCCATCATTATTACATGAATCAACATGCATAGTGATATGCACAAAATTATTCAATTAATTCTTGTTTCAACTAGCCTTTTCATCAATACATTTAAATATAACTTTGTATTAATATATATATATGATGCAAAAAACAAAAAAATATTTTTACAAACAATTTTTTTACAATTTTTAATATATTGATCAAATTATCATCTAGTTTTATGAAATCAAGATGTTATTTGAGATCAAATCTATACATTATAAGATGAGTACTTTATTACAAAAAAGGATAAAAGCACAAACATAATAAATGCTCACTTTATAACACATTTTTGGTGATACTTTCCAAATTAAAATCGGATTTTTATAAAATATGAAAAAATCACAGCAAAGTCTATATTACTATAAATTCTTTGAGGTATTGTGATGATTTTTTAAGTCCGTAGCTTCATGCAACCTTTAAATATTCATTTGATTTTGTACATGAAGATTTTGAACATTTATAAATTAAATGTTTGAATAAATAAAAAAAATTACTCAACTTTTGTCCAAAATTTCAATTTTCAATCGTTTCTGGAAATTAACAAAATTATTCGATTAATTTTTTTATAAACTAAAACTAAATTGTTTGTAAATGAACACAAATAACGGTGCCAAAACTGCAAAACAAAGTGATTATTTGATTGACAAATTTTTTAGATAATACAAAATAATAATATAAATTTATTTACATTTGGAGAATAATAATCATTTTAAAATTAGAAAATTTGATATGGGCATTTCATATCATGGTTAGATTTTAAATAGTTTTCAAATACCATCAAAATCATCAACATTGCATATTTCAAATATTGATGACAGAATCAATTTGTGTCAAAATTAAAAATGTTTTGTCGAAGTCAAAGATCTCAATAATTTCAATTTTTTTATGAAAAATATTCTGCAAAGATGTGTTAAAAAATCTCATGCAAAATATGAGATTAAGTTCTTGAATATCATAAACTTTATTTTTATTTTTTAATTAAAGTGAAGAATGAAAATTGACATAAAATCTAAGCATGTAATAGAGATTTAGAGATTATTATAATTCAAATACAAATTATTTAAGAACTATGAATTGAAATGATATTTGATACAAATCATAAATTTGAAAGATATAATGTTAATAATATTCAACAGAAGAGGAGAAATATCAATGACAGTTTGTGGTTAAAAAATTTTAAATGCTTTGTGCGTTATTCATTGTATTAGTATTATTATTATAATTAATTACATGTATGTACATTTTATTGATTATAAATAGTTGCTTGATAAAAAATTTTTTAGATGTTAAAAAAAAGAATTTTTTTTTATGAAATTGGAGATACATAAATCTGCAACACATTGATTTTAGAAACATGAATCATCGCTTCAATTCTTAAAACAAATCCAATGCTCATATAGTCTGTTTGTATGACTTATTATTAAAATAAAATTACATTTTGAGATTTTTTTTAAATACATCTCAAAGTGATAAAAAATATTAGAGATTTTTTCTAAATTGTACATGACATAAGATCAAATTATCATCATGTAAATCTTCACTATTAATATTATTATATTTTTCAATTTTAAAATTAGTAACCAAGTCATAAGTTATAAATATATATATTCTAAATAATATTCTGATGAATATGAATAATTTTTTTAAAATTTTATTTTAAATAATATGTAAATAACTTGAATATTTTTTTAAAATTTTTTTGTGAAGATTTTATTTTCATATTGTGAAAATGCTTTTTATTTTATTTGAAATGATACGCATGAACAAAAAATGACTTGGAAGAAATTAGAAGCTTAAATTGATTCAATTGGTACTAATCCATCATAGACAAGATACATTTTAATTTTGAATATATTAAATATATGTTTACAATCAAACTTACATACATGACTTCTTGGAATATAAATATTTAGCATATTTATGGATCCAAAAAATCAATATTCAAAACAATATATAAGATTTGTTCTGTTTTAATAGTTGAAATATGAAATATGAAAATTTGAATTTAATTATTTATAAATGTTAGTAATATATTTATGTACTTATTTATATATACATTTACTTCAATTCCATACGATTCATATACTATTGAAGTGAATTGTCAAAGAAACCACGTGTTGTGTATGCTTAGTTCTATCAAATGAATCAAAATATTTGTTACAATGTAAAAATATGGTTCTAAACAGATTAATTTTGATCATTTATGATATTTCAATTTTTTTCCGAAAATATTGCTATAATTTATGAAATAATTTAATTTAATATGTATGAATGTTAAGATGAAAATACAATGTAGTTATGATTTTGTGTTTATTGCTTGTACATTCTTACTCTACAAAAATTCATCCAAAAAATATTCATAAATTTGTTTCAATTGAAATGATTTTAAACTAATAGCATTATTACTTATTTCCTACTTTAAAAACTTCAGATGATACTGATATTATATTTATTTTTTCTATTAAATGATTTATTTTGAAGATATTTTTCTACTAAATAAATTTGGGGTTTTTTTAAAATGTTGAATTATTTCGAACTGTTCACTGTATTTTTCAGATTTAGTTTATAACTAATTGTTCTATTGAAAACAAAGGATGTATATGCTCAATATTGTATTTTATTATAATATCATTTTTCTACAAATGCCTAGCTTGAGTAAAATGATATTCATGCTTGTTTTCAATTTTTGACAGAGTTAAAATTTATGTAACAAATGTATTGAGTAATTTGAGTATAATATTTGAGTAATTTAGTTTTTTTAATATAATTTGATTCTTGTTTTGATTTTGACATTGTGAAGACTTCATCTTTTGAAAAGTGTAGAATCGAGATCAGATATAACATTATTTTTTAGATCGGATATTTTACTTTTATCATGATGAAATTATGGATACTAATTTATTGACATTTTATCATATGATTTGATTAATGTCATGATGGGCTTGACATGATGGTATGTATGACTTCATGCCATTTACTGAGGTTGTCATTAACTCATAAAATATATTTGAATATATGATCATATGTCTAATAGCTTCATATAAAATGATATATAACAACATACCTAGGTTATTCTTACCTTAAATGACGTAACGATATATGTCTTTATTATATGCTTAAAGTTTCCTGCTGTTGTAATATAATTACCAATACAAGAGAATAAGTTGAGACTATTATGATGATATTTGAAAAAAAAGAAATTTGGAAAATCGAAGAGAAATAATTAATGTATCTATGACCACACAAAGCCAGAGAAAATATAAGCTTCAGTAGACGAAGCAGAGCTATGTTACTATTTTGGCGTTGAAGAGGGATAGTAGGGAGTGCTTCATGAAAAGAACATAACAGAAATTGCTCGATGTCAAGAGCAAAATAGATAGATATATTCACCATTACCTGTCACAAACCTTGTCATCGGCCTACATAGACACTCACAAATTAATTTAATGTATAAAATTGTACCGTGGCAAAAAACTGCGTCCGTTATCCGCAGTGAGGTTTGCAACAGGAAGCATATATTAAAGATCATGTACGGAGCTGAACGCGTTAGAACTTTCAGTATGTTTCATTCGAGCCCTACTACGAGTAATCATAAGCCGATCGAACTTTATGCACAAAATAAAACATTTCCCCCATACAAAGTTTAGTCGCCACTATAATATTCTACCCGCCTATCTCCAATTGGAAGTTATTGGAGACATATGTAGAGGTGGTCGTAGGGCATTATCAGATTATAGCTGCATGGAAAGCACTGCATGTATGTCCATGAATCACCCGTTGGCATGTATACATTATAAATACAGATTTTTAAACTATCTAATTATAGATTCTTAATCCGTAGGGAAGTCTAATTTACTATTTGCCTGTCCCATACTGGACGCTTGTGATGAGGCTGATATTAAAATAACCAGGACTTCAGCCGTACGGTAGAAGAGCAGAGAAGTATACAGAAGGGTAGCCCGAGCTGCGTTGACCGAAACGATGACCGGCTTGAGGCTACCGCAATCCAGGCTACCCGAGAAGTTCAGACATGTCATGTTTGGATGTGGTTACCCTTCCGGGAACGAGTCGTCTGCAAACCGGACGTAGCTCTGAGTTTCTAACTAACTCGTCGTCAAAGGATGCCGGGCTTAAAAGGCTGACCAATATAGAGGGTCGTCAGGACGGCAGTGGGCTGTCAGAAAAGGAGAGGAATTTGGAGGCAGTTATAGATGGAGCTGGGGAGGTTGGAGAGAAGAGTGCCACTACACTTGACCGAAGAGTGCATCGCAACGAGAGCTGCCATCGAAGTTGGAGTGAGTGGGTTTACTTTCCTACCCAAGAGCTCTCTCAATGATTCTGGAATGCCCGAGAGTGAATCACACTCTTGGTATGAAGTGAGTTGCAAGTAGAGACTCGAGTTAGCCCTGTAGCTCGTCGCTCATGTGCCGGAGGGCTGGGAAGGTCACAGGGTGGATAGTAGAGGAGGCGAGGCGAGGCGAGAAAGAAAAGCGCAGGAGCAACCGAGGGCTGATTGTTTATTTGCTGATCTGCCCCGATTGTTTCTGATTCCGAAAAACAGGATCGAAAATGAAGCTGTCAGTTTTGGCCCCGGATGAGCGGATTGTGCCTCTCGATGTGGAGCCCGATGAGCTGGTAATTTAGCAATGCGTCTTTCGAGTTTCTGTTTTATGGAAGAATTGAATTTTGAAGCAACAGTTCACTTTGAATGAAATCTTCGGTTGGGATATCACGGTTGGTGTCTGGTTCAGATGACGGATCTGCAAAACCAGAACGATTGTTCGTTAATGAGAGGGAGAGACTTGTGATCTTTTGACATAAGTGCGTAACTAGGGTTCATAGAACTGAATGCTTAGAATTGCAGAATTGAATGTTCTGCAATTCTCTACATAAATTCGTTAATTGATAAAATCTGAACGGAATACACCATGCGCTGTAATTTATCCTGTGCTATTTACATAAGCAATCCGAAGAATGAATGAACGGATACGCTTAATTTTCACGGGAACTTAAAGGATACTGTGAAGAGGTGAGCTTAAATGTACGAGTATACTCTTGCTGACATGCTTCGGTACTCCCCTATATGTTGTTTGGTGAATTGCGTAGATATTACGTGACTTATGCCCGAAATAACCACTGATTCTGTCATGTCAAGATTCCTGTAGTAATATAACATGTGGGCTCTGTGAAAATCTGAGTTAACTTCTTTGTAATACCTCTCTGTATTTAGACGAGGAAGAAGATATCAGATTGTGTGTCTACTATGCTCTCACAGATAATGCTGTAATTGGTGGCAGGTGGAGAATCTGAAAGCTATATTAGAAGTTGAGGTGTGTACATTCCTCTTTATTTTTTGATTTCGCCTTTTCTATGTTTCCATCTATTCTTGAACTATGACAATTTACATTCTGCCATCTTTGCCTATCATGAATGGAGTTTGGTTAGTCATGAGATTTTCATGAACCGTTTGTTTTCGCTTCAAGTTTGTACTTATTGTTTTGACTTTATCTAGCGGCAGATAAAAGCAATTGCAGTCACATCTTTCAGCTGTATCAAAGATTATCTTGTAGTGGTGGTATGTGACAGTAATAAGAAGCTATATTGCAGACCAGTATACCACTCAATGAACAGCAGATTTTGCATCATGGGAAGGAAATTCCGAACCACGGGCGACTCAATGCGGCTGGGGTAGTCGAGAATGACCTCTTGATGCTTGTGTCCTCCACTCTCAGGTTGGTTTGAAAATTCGAGTTTTTAGAAGGTTGGAAGTTTAAATAAAAATATCTGCTCTGTCGAGTATTCTCTTGTACATGATTCACAACGTACTTTCCTTGTCCATATGTTCGAAGTGATTCGTAGTTAATTTTATATTAACAGACTTGTTCGCCCATTCGCAGTAGACAAAATGGACCTGGACCATCTCCAAACGCAAATCCCCTAGCGTTGAATTCTGATGGTTCTGCAGCTAATCCAGCTGCTTTTTTGAATCATCTTCGAGGAGATGCAAATATTATGTCTCAACTAATGCAGGTATTGAATCAGGAGAAGATGCCTAACACTAACATACATTTAGTTTTTCCTATCCGAGTTGAGTTTATGATGTCCTGATGGTGACCCATCTAACACAGACTTATAGAGAGTTGATAATATGCATTATGCGACTAGTTATTCACTAGCAGTCTCCGACAAGACATGAGGCCATGTGCTTCAGGTCTTGAGTACAGTTTACGGTGAACTTGGTTTGACTATCCGAAGCATACGCTCATGGACGTTGCGTTCGTTGTCATGGACATATTATCAAGCTTTTTCTGTTTTTTGATCTAGGGTTTTACTTGCTGCGTAGATCATTCAAATCATATCTCCTGGAACTGATTCCATTCTTTTTTGATGTATACAGAGAAGCCCTGAGATAGGCAAAGCAATAGTAACAGGTGACATCGAGGTTATGCAGAGGTTTCTCAGGCAACAACATGCGCATCAACAACACTTGCGAAGTCAAATAGTACGGTTTCCTTTGAGTGTCAATGAGCTGAGAAGTAAACTGCAGTTTGTCAAATATGGGGAGCAGTTCATTGAGAAAAACTAGTTTTTGTTTCAAAAAAATTTAATATTGAAGATTTGTTGAAATCTCAATAAACAGGATTTACTTTGATTTGATTCCGTTGCTTTGGATGGTCAAGACGAAACCTTGTTTGTTACAACCATGACTGCGATTGGATATGTTGCTATGTTATTAAGAAGTATAATATGCTGCAATATATCGCAGTACTATATTACTGGGGGAGGTCATCTTTTTTATTTTTGGATAAGTCCATACATGACTCTCTCTTGCTTTCACGTTTTAGTCTTCTGTTCATCTGCAGTCTGACAGCCGACCTACCTACAGAAATCCCAAGTAATTATGCACAATAGCTCGATTTCTACTCAATGTAGTGATCTGAATATTGAGTTTAGTTCTTTGGTTGTTTATTGGTAGAGGTGTTTCAAACCCTATGTATCTTCCCCCTCTCTCTGTACGGTTATCTTAGATCAGCGGTTTAGAAAGTAAGGCAAGGTGCTTGCTTGATATGGTGTTTTTGATCAGAAACTGAGATTTCTAATTTCCGGTTGACCGAGCTACTCATCAGTATGTATCAGAGTATATCCTTGATCTCACTAGATGGCTTCTACATATACATGTATTTGTGGTAGAGGGATATGCTGTAATTACTTGTTAACTTGTTTTTACGCCCTTTTTTAATTTTCCAATCAATCGATCGATGCAGGTATAGGAGTACCTACACGAGAAGTCAATACTCCTTTTGAGATGGAATGGTAGATTTATGTCATAATTTCGCTTCTTGATATCTTTAACAGGACCTGATGAATGCGGACCCATTTGATATAGATGCACAAAGAAAAATTGAAGAGGCTATACGACAGGTAAGCTGTGAGAATTACGGTTTGTCTCCTTAAGCTTCTGTGATCGACGTCATTTAATTATGCTGAGTATGAGGTATTATCAGGTGATGGATCATATTTTAAATTCGCAAACCTGGTGTCTGTGATCACAGAAAAATGTGGACGAAAATTGGGAGGCTGCAGTTGAACATAATCCTGAGGCCTTCGCGCGAGTGGTGAGAACTTTTAGAGAAGTGATCCCACCATATGTGTCTATGTTGTAGATCCAGAACCGATTCAAATTTTATCGAAATTTATCAGAATTGATGGTGTTATTACTGCGAACATGTTACAGAATGACAAGGTTTGTGGCCATGTTCATTGTTGAGGTTCATCTTTTGCTTGGTACTAACTTATTGGCTTGTCTTCTAGATTATGCTTTATGTGGATATGGAGGTGAATAGTGTTCCTCTCAAGGTGAGACAAGATTGCGAGGATGAAAATAGTTTTATATAGTTTTTTCGTGACTCTTTTGTTTTCAAACTTGATAAGAACCACAATTTGAACGATTTCCACATTGGCCTCTTTACTAAAGCTTTAGGTCGAGCGTCAGTGACATTTGTCTCTAGATTATCTTGACTTTGTTCCACACTCGTCAGTTCGGACTTGAGAGCCGTAGATGCATATGAAAGCTTATTTTAGACCGGAGTTTGAACGTAGTTTTACGAATTGAGGATAGATTTGCAGGCATTTGTTGATAGTGGAGCCCAGACAACAATTATTTCTAAGGACTGCGCAGAGCGTTGTGGGTGAGTCATTGACCCCCCTACATTTCCTTTCCAGCTTTGCACAATATGATGTTTACTGAATTTGATGAGGTGTGAATTTGCATTTACATGGTCCACCTGATTGGAGATTTTTGAGTTGCCTAGTCGAGAACTAAGTACACATAATATGTCAAAAGATTATTGAAGTAGCTTGAGCGTATGATGTAACGCTGCATTGTGTCATTCTCAAATACGTGTAGGCTTTTACGTCTACTAGACCGTCGCTACGTCGGTATTGCCAAAGGAGTAGGGCAGTCCGAAATTGTGGGGCGGATCCACGTTGCTCCATTAAAGGTGGCATTTCTTTTCGTCAATAATGGCCGCTGGTGTAACTTACATATATTTCTCTTTTTTTCTTTTCCTTTCATGAGCAGTCTATTCTGTGTATTGGATGAATCAAAGGATGAATTATGCCTTCTTCTTGAATCCATCTCTGCGTTGAGATAATTTCTTCTAGCCGCTATAAGAAAATCGAACACAAGAAGAATTCATCAAGTCTTAATTTGTGTCGTTCTATCTTCCTTCAAATTCTGATATCGGAAGGATTATATCAGAAAGACCATTTTTCTTGTTTTGTGAATGTATTTTTGTGAGCACGGTCTGTGTTCTGGTCTTTTATGTGGATGCGCTGAGATTGATCAATTAACTGGTCTCTTATGTAATCAATAATTTTGTTCGTTTTTGCTTCTTTTTCCAGATCGGAGTAAATTATTATCCATGCTCGTTCACAGTGCTTGATCAGCCTGATTTAGAGTTCATTTTTGGCCTCGATATGCTTCGCAAACACCAGGTTTGTGACAAAATTGCAGTTCAACATTGAACTGATTATAGTTAGAAAAATTCCATTTTCTTTCTGCACATGATTCCCTGAAATGAAAGCTTGTGACTGTATCTCCAGTGAACTTCTATTGTTGTGATTAGTCTAGAAGGCAAGTGCGGACTTAATGGTAAGAAGTGAAGAATATTGTAGACTTGCGACCTTCTTATCTGCAGAAGTTAACTCTCTTCTTGAATTTGGATACACAAACATCCACGTAACAGACGATGCAGTCTTCAGTACTTCCATTTTCTCTAAAGTGGCATGATCTTGAAAGCGCAGTGCTCCATAGATTTGAAGGACAATGTCTTACGAGTAGGCGGAGGAGAAATAGCCGTGCCCTTTTTGCAAGGTATTGCCATCTTTCTCAGAACAAGTCAGATACTTACTATTGAACTGGTTTCTTCGGAGTGTTTGCGGGTGGAACATACGAACTCTAAATTCCTGAACGATAACTATGTTAATTGCAGCAATGGTTTATGTACTATTGTTCACTATGTCTTGTTTCTAAACCTACAAGCACAGAGACTGGCAGTTTGGCGTGTGTGTAAGGTCTGTGAGCCCATTATATTGTTCCATGAAAATTTCGCTTCAACATCAAAGTTCTGATGCCATCACCACCCCGATAATTTCTTGTGAATATTGGATTTCCTTCATTCGTTTCAGGGTTACGAGTTTTACACACAATAAGAATAGGAAAACATGAATCTTGTTTTGTCTTATTTCAACTCCTGCTTGTATATAATCTTATATTGTTTATCATCCACCTTTTCAGTTATCTTTATGAGTTTGTAGACTTATTGGGACGAACGTCTATAAACAAGGCTTGAGTTGAGTCCATTGTATTCGAAATTTTCATGAACCGATTCTGAAATTCTGAAGGATAGTAACAAGTGATTCCATTTTAAACCAATACAAAAGGATTGTGATCCACGAAACGATGTCATTAATGAAGAACATAGGGGAATTTATCGGAATCGCGAGAATAAGACACAGGCACACTGCGTACTTATCTGCTGTAGAGGGAAACGGTGGAACCATGGAAGAGAAGGAATGTACCAAGCGAAGTTACATATATATACAAGCTATGAACTCAATTCTTTATATATGCCACAAATATCAGTTTTGTCATAGGTGACTGTCTTGAGTGATACCATATGCGACTGAAGTCTCACGTTGGAAGGAATCATCGTATACTTTGTGCGTTTCCGTAGGTCATTATTTTGATATTTGATCAGGACTAACTCATCGAGTTGGTGTGATCTACTACAGAGAAGGATCTGCCTTTAAATATATTGGGGAGTGATGGGCCTCCGCCCAAAGCAGTGTCAACGCCGGTAGATGTAAGTGAAGCAACTATCTGCTGTTATGGCTCTAAATATGAGATGTCCTCATTTGGCTGAACCTCAAATAAAGCTACTCTATTTGCCTCTTGTGCGTTTTAGAGCAAGTGTAGTATACTCAAACAAGGTTTAATCTGAAACTATCAAATTTTATAGCTGTATCTCAGGGCCGTGAATGGTGAGAAAGTTGGGCGATTTTCAAATTTGAAAGCAATATCTGTCACCATGCTTTGTTAGAAAATCATCGTTGCAGTGACGAGCATTGGATCGTCTAAATTTGGACTATAGGCGCGCCTAGAAAATCCTGCCATCAGTTAAAAATTTATTCTAACCAATGTATGTTTATTTTGCAGAGTAAAACTGGTAAAACAGTGGCCAATGAGTTTGCACCAGCTCCCGTACAAGTAACGAGCGGAGCAGGTATTACCTTACTTCTGGTTTGAATTAGAGTCGATTCCTTTTTTAGCAGAATAACACTGGAAGCTCAGTGTCCTTTGTCAAGAAGATACTCTGGGACGTTGCTGACTTTGTTTCTCTTCAGTTATCTGGTTATATGATGCTTTCTTCTTTGTTTTTCGTGCAGGTGGCTCTTCAGACCTATCATTGGCTCAGGCTCAAGAAGCTAAGAAGCGAGCGAGGAGTCCACAGGTATATAGTTGCATCCTTTCTACAAAACGTCGAATATTTTTCATGCATACCCCTCGATGCAACCTCTCCATTGGCTCAGTATGAATATTAAATGTTAAGAAAGTCAATGAAATGGTAAAAGGGATTTTAAACACGTGGAAAGTTGCGAGAGAACGCAAAGTTGAACGTCTTGCCAACTTTGCTGCTCTTTTTGCTTAAACATCTTGGTCAGAAATGATTGTCTTTATTATGTTGTTGGTAAAAGTAAAATCAGAGATCTCCCGTTCTGAACTGGACCGGGTCAATAACCCTCTAACCCTTTGGCTGTGTGCGGGTTCGGATCAATACTGCATAGAGTCCTGATGATTGAAAGTAATGAATCTTAGTGCGTTGGTGGCTGGCCACTTCTGGCGAGATTCTTTCAGTTTTTGCGATTCCCTGCCTCTCCTGGAAGGTACTTGTGTTATTTGGATGCATATTCAACAATGGCTCTGCTGCAATACAATAACCGAAGTAAAGAAGAACTACGGTCCTTTTCAGAGCTGGTGGTGGTGCATATCCTGTGTCAAACAACATAAGAGACCATCTTCGACCTCTCTCTCTTGAGAGCAGGATTAAAACTTGACTTAAAACTCAAGCTGTCTCAAATCCTTATTTCCATCTGGAAAACATGTAGTAAGAATGCTATATCGTTACTTGTCAGCAGGATCTAGAAGTGAAGGTGACGAGGTTAATGGAGCTGGGGTTCGACAGGGAAGCAGTCACGCAAGCACTTTCCCTTTGCAATGGGAATGAGGAGCAAGCTGCCAGCTTTTTGTTTGGAGGTTGATGGTTACACATGGTCGCACAGTTGGAAGTAGATCCCTTTCTTTTTGGTGTTAGTACAGTTGTGTTGTTTAATATCGGGAACCAGCTATGTTGCTGGTTCCCATTTAGCTCACTCAAGTACCGAGCATGAGCTGGTTAGGATTAATCTGCTAGAAATTTGGTCCTCTCAGCGATGTCCATTTGTGAATGATTTTCATGCCGTCCAAAATATTCAGGGTCGAGATTGAAACCCATTAGGGTCAAGATTTTTCACCGATTGAGAAACATCAAGGCATAACGTGAGTTGCTGAGAACTATGATAGTGGGAATCACATCTGCTAGATCAACCATACTCTCAAGAAGTAGTATTCGACATAAGTGCCAAAGAACTCAACTAGATGGGAGTGGACATTTTTCTTGGTACTTGCGGCCAATTACCAAGACCAAGCTTCATTGATAATGAGTTTTTCCAAAAAAACTGATCTAAATTGGCAAATTTTTTCCCCCCTGGACTCGTGCGAAGTGTACACAGTGTTCATCCTACCCATGGGAGTCAATGGATCAAGCAATACTTACCACTTTGCCTGTCCCTTTTTTTACTCGTGAGTTTGTTCTCTTAGGAAGCTGGAGTCCCTATGTCACGACCGTGATAAACTTTTTCATATGCTACAAATATCCTCACTAAGTTAAAGTGCCACGACAACAGAACGAATGTTTGACAAATAAGTACCACAAACACATTTGAGGAGGAAGAAACGGTCTCACTTTTTGGTTCAGGAATGCTAGAACTAAATTGACTTTCAGGTCCCTCCACTACCTTCGGAAAGAGAATATCTAATGAAGAGTAAACAATCAAAATCGAGTTTCATATTTGTGCATGGGAGCTACTTTCTTCTAATACATCCAACACCAGTCGCATAGGAAGATATTTCTGTCCACGAATACAACCAAGTTGACAAAGTCTTCTTATTCGAACTCCCCGTATTACGGGTTGGAGTTTCGGGTTTAGGGTTTAGCAGCCGTATATGTTTCATGTAAAGCAAATACTGCTTGGGACTGATTGAATGTAATGATTATCTTCTACATTTCAGTGATTGATTCCCACTTTGCAAAATTATAATACTATCTATCATCTGCTTACTAAGGAAGTATAATAGATCGAGATTAAGGTCATGGAACATGCATTAAAAACACAAACATGACATTCTTTTTCAATTTTATAATGCACATTTCTAATCACTCAATTGTTGCATGAAACTCTAGATTCACATGTACGCTGCGATCTCTTAGGGATTAACCGAACAGCTCATATCTTATTTCTGATTGGAACATTTTTCTTGCCAAACGAACATTCCAAGATTTATTATAAGCATGGTAACTAGATAAATATGAGATGCAATTGTTAGAACTAGTAGTGTGGTTAGGCTTGATAGAGGTTTAAGTGTAGAGCTTGAGGGAGTGCTATTTACTCTGCAGATTAATTACTTTGTAAATAAATTTACTTTGCTATTTAGTCGTCATACTTTGTACCACGTTTTAGTTTGAAGGTTTTAGTTTACGTAAAGTGAATAACTACACGGATACGGGGCAACGGAGTAGAATATGCAAGAGTTTTTGCTGTATCTGAAAGTATATCTATATGAAGAGAAATTTGATTCATGATCCAATATTATTCTTAATATGTCCTCCAAGTTGAATTGGTGAAGGTATGAATGTTGTACGGCATAGTTAGTGAATACAGAGTATTGATTATATTTTTAGTAAGATCTTGGTGCGAGTCTGAACCGAGGAGCGTAGAAAGTTACTATAAATACTAGGTTAAGGGAAGATTTAAGATGCCCAATAAAAGAATATCGGCGGGCGAGTCTAAACCGGAGAGAGTAGAAAGTTACCGTAAATAGCTACTTCAGGGTAAAATTCCACGTGGCCAATGAAAGAGTATTGGCGGCTAGCGCTTTAAATGTAACGGCAGGAGTCGCGGGAACTCAAGAAAACGGGGACGAGTTCACATCGACAAGTCTCAACGTTTAGTTAATGTTACTGATTCAATGTCTTTCCAGTTGCTACGATGAAGGCGGTTCTGTCTACTCAGAAATCCTCATCATCATCGTTGGACCTGAGAGTGTTGGAAAGTACGACAATGAGGGGTACATCTATCAATCTTTGATTGCCATACCCACATGGACGGAAAAAGATATGGCCAGGTTGCGTGAGAGTGAAGTGTTGTTTCTTGGCTTGGCGTTGAGGCGAAGTGTATACGGAGTTGTGCGTGGAAGTTCGACGACGCCAAAAAGTTTGATTGGATGGAAGATAAATCTTGAATCATGGGATGAAATGCTGTGGACGACATATTTGGATGGAGATTGCATCGCATAAGTTGTGATTGTTCACAGCGATTGGGCAAGAAAGCGATCTTGGATTTTGGATGGAAGTCTTTGCGCAGCATGTATAGGAATGAGCGTTTGTTTACGAGCATAACCAGAAGGTGTTGTATATATCTCGTCCTTCTTGATGCACATATATACGAGGATGAGACGGATGAAATTGGTAGAACTTTGGAAGTATCAAATTGCTAACGGGTGAGACAGGATGGCGAGGCAAGCATTGCAGAACAGTCCGCACATTCAACGATTAGAGCTCGGAGTTCTTGAGGTGATCGGACATCCATAAAATATTCCGATGTTGTTACATCAGAGTAACTAGAAGAGGTTATTTAGACCGTGTAACAAAAGCTCCGCGCAATGAAGCTAAGTCTAGCCGACGAAGTCAAAGATCTATGGGGAGGTTACAAGCAATGAGGTACTACCTAGAAAGAAGCGAAAAAGAATGATTTCTCATATAGTAAAAATAAGTTTTGGTAGTAGTACACATCATGAGTCAATTGAAAACTTGTTCATATTGTTGAGGTTGGTTGATGAGAAAAAGTAAGCTTATAGGAAAATTTGTAATGATATGTTCACTTACTGATATGTTCAATTCGAATTCATTGATACACATAAATTTGAATTGGTCGATAAATGGAAATGCAAATGCGCTACTCATCATCAAGGTGATGAGATCAGAATTTAATGTGATCATTAGAGTGACGCTAAGTATTTAATATTTTTATCTCATCTTCACGAAGTCCATATCATGTTGAAGTGTAATGTTATTGAGCTCAAGAGGTATCTAAAAACAGGTTGAGGAGAAAATGGTGGTAATCTGGTTGTAATGATGTATGAAAATTTATGTATCGTACAATCAGGGGCTTCATGGTTTGATGAAAAATAGGTCTAGCAACTAAGCTTGTTGGCTCAAAGGTCGTTATCTCGGCTTCGATTATGGGCAGACACCTTATAACCTAGGTTACCTTAATCAAATCATAGAATAGAAATGAGCTTATCCATCGTAAAAGTTTGTGTGATCTCCTTATTTTTCGTACAGTAGGTATTGAAGTTCGGTAGTTTATACCTTGTAACCTTGAATGTAACAATGTAAAAGTTGATACACATGATATATTGATGCTCTAAGTTTCCGTATAGCACATGATTGGCTTGAGGTTTGTCTTATCTATTGTAGATGGGGGCAATGATATATTGAGAACATCTACATCAATAGACTTCCATTTACGAGAAGACTGTACCTGATTGTTTCAAGAAGAGTTTTGCTTGCTTTGCGGTGGACGTAGAAATGGAGTGGTATAGGTATTTGACATTGTAGAGATTGTAGATACAGAGCTATTTGAGATTGTAGCCCTGCCCACCAATAGCTTTAGGTTACGCTGATCGGAAAATATATGATTCGGTGAAAAGGTTGCGGTTCGAATCTCCGACGAAGACACGAAGCACCGCGGATTCCATCACATGCTTCCGACTGAGTCAAGAACTTGCATTGGGCTCGACATGAAGCAATCCACATAAACGACACCAACTCTTCCCTGGAGCGGCGGACGGCGCACACGACACTCCTGCGACGTCGTTCGATTCTACAGTCTTCTTCTCCTAGTCGCAGTAATCGGAAATTACGGGAGAAAGAGCATCAAAGGAAAATGGTAGAAAGGATGAAAAACCCCATCGAATTCTACAGGGATGAAGAAATACCAAGTAATGTGGAAAAACGTATGAGAAACCGCGTCAAGTTGTAGATGGATGAAACCAAAAGGGTAGATATGGGATAACTTTCACAAACGCGGCGGATGAAAATCGTCGCATTTGAATCTGGCGACTTTTTGTGAGCAAAGAACCGCCGTAAACACAGACCGACATCGTCAAAACTCACGACCCCTAGATTAACCACATGGATTATTTGACGTAGTCCCCCACCCAATAATGTACGATGCGCTGTACGTACAAAGCAGGTTCCTGGTGTTACGAGGAAGGTCCGCTCGTAGGGTTTATATCCTGTGCTTTGAAGTTCGTACAACGGGGTTTAACTTCTAGCGGTCCGAGTACAGATCGCAGCTTACAGTAAGTTGCAGCAGATCAAGGCAAGACTTGAGAAAGCGAGGCAAGGAAGCAAACGGTAAGGGCAGGGGCAAGGGAAGGGCGAGGACGAGGACGAGAATGGGGAAGTGAAGGCGTGGCCTGTCGAGGGAGGGCTGGGCGTCTTCCAGGCGAACGAGGTTTGCGCGAGGGACGGGTGTTGGAAAGCGGGTGGCCGCTGTGCTTGGCTTGGAAGGGCAGCTCTGAGTGGGGAGACGCTGACTGGAACAGGCGGTGCTCGGGTGGCATGGGCCGTGGGGTTTGTGGCTTGTGCGTTGGGAAGGAGAGGATTGGGCGGGGCGCAGGGCAGGTCGTGGCGCTGTTTCTGTATGGCTGGCCGGTGCTGAGTTTGAACTCTAGAGACTCTCTTTTCTTCGGCCTCGCTTCCGCTCGCTCGATCTTTGCGAGAAGTACGAGCACTGTAGGCAAACAGGCAGGCAGACGCAGGCAAGCGTTATGGAGAGTGTAGCAGCAGTGTCATCGTCATCGTTGTTGTGCTCATACCAGCTGCGTAGGCCCCTGAAGGGTTTGGTCTCGTTCTCTGTAAGTGCTATTACCCTTGCCCATATTTTCCCAATTTATCCGTTCGCGTTGTCGGTCGCCTCTGTCTTTATCCACCCCTTGATCATTCAATTTCTCCAGGGTTTCTGGGCCGATGGTAGTGATGGCATGCCATCTCGAGCCCATTGAGACAGAGGTACACTTTGAATGGGAAGGAGGGGTGAGGGTTTGGTATCGGAGGGAAGAAATTGAGGTAGTGAGAGTGCTGTTGTGGGTCTAAGTGTTTTTCGGGTAAGGAAGGGAAGAGTGGGACAGGGAACCGGTGGAGGGATTTTGCCATGTTACATTCCCTTGTCCTTCAATTAGTTTTTCAGATGATTTTTGTGGGTTTATCTGTTTTCAAAGACCGTGTAGACGATGATGCGATTTTTCGAACGAATGGCAATTGAATTGGATTTTGCTCCCTTTGGTAGGGAGACTTTGTAGGGTGTTTTGCGTATGTATCTAGATCAACACCAGTAGCGTATTTGTGGTTTGGCATCGAATAGCATAAATCATTCTTTTCTCACTTGTAGACATCCGGTTTATGGTATCGCAAGTGGAGGGATTGGACAGGTTGGTCATGTTCTGATCATCTTATTTCGTCTGGTGAACTGGTTATTGCAGAAAGGTGAGCTTATCAGGTTGCCAGCCCAATGTTTGATTTTAGTTCGCAGTAAGAACCATTCGGTAGGTTACTCAGCAACTTGGATTCAATTTGCTACTCTCGTCTCCTTCCTCCTTTATTGTCTGTTGGAGGTCATGATTGGTGAAAAAAATTTGATCTGCCCATCTGATCGGGTGTAGCTCTGGCAAACATTGGTTATATCCTGTTATTGGAATGAAGCCTCTTCCTAGGTTGACTTGGTGTGAGACTTGGTAGGAAATTTTAAGTTCCAGTATTTTCTCTCGACATCTGATGCATTAGAGATTTTTCAAGGAAAAAATTCAGCTACTACACCTTGACAGAGCAGGTACCGCTTGTTTCATATTTGATTTCTTCAGTGTTGTCACAATTAGTTTTCGTGTGCGTGGGAACAGATTGGAGCTGAAGTGAAGATTTCGGAAAGGAAAGATTTTCTGAGCAGAAGACCATCACGTTTGGTAATGACCCAAATGTTTTTACATTTCAAGATTTGAACTGATCCTCACGTCTTGCTGGGATTGTTTGAAGTGAAATTTTCTCAGTACCTTTCATCGTAATCTGGTTCCTTCTAGAACGCCACTACCTCAGATACATTTTCCAGTCCCAAAACTGGTACACTCGGCGAAGATCGTTTCAAGGATGGAGCAGTTCCTGGTACCTATTGGAATGACAGGTATGTCTTCCCGGTCCTTGTAAATTCTAGGCCTTGCTATTCATGGAAATGATGAAATGCATGTGCTGAAAAGAAAGAAGAGTCCTGGTCTCGCCTTTCTTTTCTCCAATATCTAATCCAAGTTGAGCTGAAAGTGCTTAAAGATAGAATCAACTTGACCAAGTCGCCACCTCTGTTTGAGATCATAGGTAGATGGCGAATCGAGGTAGAATCGTACATCCCTGTTCCGAGGGACGTACAGGATAATAAATGTACATTCTTGGTAGACTATTCATCATGGATCATATTAGGTTTTGAGGATGGATATGTGTCTGCTGTGTAATATAGTATTCTCTATTATTTTTTCTGCCGTAATTATTTTATGCTCTTACTGGAAGTTGAGTTGTGTGACTCTTAACCAGTCCTTTTCTCTTCTATGACGAGGAGTCTCAACTATGTGTTCGTTTTTACAGCCTTGACTTAGGAGAGGAGGCAACCGTTTGTTTCAACACAGGCTCAAACACAGTAAGGGTCTTGATGCTCTCTTACCATCGCCATTTGGTTTTCCTGCTCTGATGTTGTGGAAAGCTTGTGTATGGTGCTCACCGATCCCTTTCTTCAGAGTGAATGATTTTTGAAGTTTTCAAATCAAATAATTTGCTTTGTCACATCATCAGACGGGGCCCAAAAGAAATACGTTGCTTGCCTTCTAAGTACTTTTCGAAATTTTAAATTGAATACATCACGTACACAAGATTAAGTCAGCTTGAGAGAAGTATTAGATGTTCCTACTGCCTCTTCTGTCTGCCTCCTTAGCGTAACCATCTACCCTTCTCTCCAGTACCCTGGGTGGCCATGACCATTAGGTTTCACCGCAAGGACTGCAGGTCTTTTTGGAGGTCCTGTTGATGGGCTGAGTATGCTTTAGAGTTTGACATTGAGAGCTAATATCCTAGAGGTTAGGGAGAAGACTTCTCTGAGCAGGAGAAAAACTTCGGAGAACATCACCATCCTATGTGGCTTTACGACTTACCTGCCCTTCTTAGCTGGTGATGGACTGAAATTTCAAGCAAATTTATTTTGTGTAAAAACTTTCGTCGCAATTCTGCAGCTACTTCAAAAAGTAGATCGAGTTATATCGTTCTCCAAACTCAACCATACCTGTACGGTGGCCTTTGCAGGTAGTAGGCTGAGTCGAGTGACTATAATTCGTTCAAAATGCTACTCACAGTGTCCGAGAAGGTGGGCCGCAATAGAGAGTTGAACAATGCTCAGCGGAAGTTGATTTGTCTTCATAAGGAGGCTACATCCATCACGAACCGAGAGTTGAGTCTATGGGCAACCGAGAAGTTCCAATTTCCCGTGTCGGAGATGACCATCTCACGCACGCTCAAAAGGAGAGATCAATGGATCTCAGACAAAGCATCACCTGATGGCAAACGAGCACGCAAACTTGTCTGCCCTGAAGTAGAAGAAGCCACATATGCTTGGTTTCTTGCCATGCAAGACAAAGGTGCGCCCCTGACCGATGCTTTGGTGTGTGAAGCTGCCAAGCGCTTTTATTCAAGCGTAGAACATACTTCTGCGGCAAAGCAGCTTGTTTTCTCACACGGGTGGCTGGGACGTTTCAAGAAGCGACACGGTATCAAAGGATATGTGAAGCACGGTGAAGTTGTCCCAGTTGAGACAAGGCAACCAATGCCCGACCAGATTGATGCTATCAAAGCAATCATATCTGATTTCGAGCCTGCAGACATCTTCAGTATGGAGGAGACAGGACTCTTGTACAGGCTGGAGCCTAATAAAGGCTTGGCAGCAAAGAGAACGAGTTTTCTCAAGAAGGCGAATGAGAGAATTACCGTTGCACTCACTGCCAACATGGATGGAAGCATGAAACTTCCTCCTCTGGTTATCAACAAATACAACAGGCCTCACGCTTTCGCGTCAAGAAATATTTCTAATCCTGTTAATCTGGGCGTCCTTTGGCACGCTAATCGATTAGCCTGGATGAGTATCACCATCTTTGAGAAATTCCTACAGGACTTCGAGAACAGAATGATGTTTGCTGGCAAGAAGAGAGTCTTGCTGCTTGTGGACAGTGCACACAGTCATAAATTCGGCAATGTGGAAAAAGACTTGAGAATCACTGTTGTCAGATTCCTACCAAGTTCTTCTGGCCTTGGTCAGCCGCTAGATGCTGGACTAGTGAGCTGCTTCAAGGCTTACTACCGCACTCTTCTGCTCAAGCATCAGGCCAACTGTCGGTTGATGGGAAAGGATGCGAGGATTGATGTATATAACGCCGTAGTTCTCTTGGAGAAAGCATGGAGGTCACATGTGACGCCAATCACTATCTCAAACTGCTGGAGATACACGGAACTGTGTAGGAAGAGATCCCAGCCCCACATCCTCGAGAACCTAAACGGGTCTCCAGGTCACTGGCAACCGAGACACTCGTTTGAGCTAAACGAGCAACTTAATGAAATTTCCGAACTGCTAGAGCAGTTTGGAGAGCAGTCAAGCATGATTGGTTTGGTTCCCGACATGACTGCGCTGGAGTATGTACATTTTGAGGAGCAGAATGGATTCGCGATCTCCCATGAGCCTAGTGAAGATGAAATTTGGGAAACCTCGTTGGCCACAGATGAGATCGAGGAAGAAACAGATGTGGATGGGCCTGTCGAGAATGTTCTTCCCATCAATTTTTCTTCAGTTCAAGGTTCTTTAGAGAGTATAGCAATGTACTTACTACAGCAGCAAGAAGATGTGACAGACCTGCTTCAAAAACTCAGGGTCCTTGATAGCAATTTAGCCAGTCATCACAAAGCTGTAGCTAGACAGCGTGATATAACTCGACTATACATAACAACCGGTTGAAGTAAAAACGCTCTCAAGTTTTGAAGAATCTTGTCCTCTTTTGTCCAACGAAGTGCTTCTACTCTTTCATTTGACTCCCACCATCGAATTCAATTTTTTGTCAGATTCTATGGCCGTGAAGCTGGTGGCTTGATATTTTCTGAGATATTTGATGTACATCCATATTTTTTTTTGATTCGTTGCGACGCTCCTTGGACTCATGCAATTTCTCAGATCTTGAGATCAAGTGCACAATTTAGAGTGGTTGCTTTGAGAGGTTCTCTTATGAGTCTACAGATTTGAACTGTAAATGTTCCTCCGTATCATGTGCTGCCAATGGTCATCGTTCCAGTTGTGAAGCTAAGATGGTCATGCATGCTGGACTTAAAAGTGCAGTTGATTAGGCCATTTTTAAGATCGTATGTTGACGATCTCTGTTTATCCCTTTCCCTTGAATTATTTCTTGTGTTGGAGAAAGCGATTGAAGAACATGTGATCGATAGCGAAGTGAAGTGATGATCTGTGAGCTTTGTGAAGTTGTTGAACTCAATTAGGAACATGACTATCACACTTAATTAGGATAACGGTTTGGGCTGTCTAGCAGTTCAGATACTATTGAGAGCACAACTTTAAGTGCATGCCTACAAGGGGCCACAACTGCAAGCAGTGAAAGAATATATGCGCTTAATGCGTAGAGCTACCGAAGACAGAACGATTGTGTTGGGACGGAAATTTATTCCTGGCGCCCTTCTTCTGAGAAAGATGTGTTTTCTCATCATCGGAATTCCAGTCAAAATTCATATCGCTATGTAGTGTGGGAGGAAATTTCTGATGGTCACAAGAGGACTTCTATGCCTCAGATCGAATACTCAGTACAATGAGTTTTCCCACAACAGTCAACACGGTAGCAGGCCTTCTCGCTGCATTCCACCGTTCCGCTGCTCAGTTGTTCTTCTTAGGCTTTGAGTTTGCCTTTTACTAATTTAATACTTAAGTTCATGCATCCCAGGTTTAATTTTTCTACTATCTCCTTATTGCTTTTTCTCTAGTATACTTCTCAGGTACCTTCTGAGACGTAACACCTAGATCTGAGTTGCTTCGGTCTCTTGCATGCCAAGCCCAAGGTTGATCACGGAATGTCTCACCTGTATGGTGGGAGAAAATCGATAGTGGTGCTGTAGAACCTTCACGGGAAAACAGCAGTTGGAGAGTCTGGATTCATTTAATCGGTCGGTGTAGTCCGTTTAGTGCAATGCTTTTGTTCAATGTTTTCATGTTTGCCCTCGCTGGCGACGCACTTGAATTTCTATTTGTTTACCTTCGTTGGGTCAAGAAATCATCTCGTTGAGCTGAGGATAGGGAAATTACTTACGTAATTGCCCTATCCTCAGCTCGTGCGAGATGATCTTATCATGAACAACTTTGTTACCCCCAGACAGTATTGTAAAAGTTTTCTGCATGGTTGATAGCATAACCACTGCTTCGTAGTTGTTCTATTATATAGCATGTAACAGTGCTTACGATGAGATCATACAGATTCCATTTCTTTGTGGACTCATCTACAGTGCCCACTGTTTTAGGATGAACGATCAGGACATGAAGAGTAGGAGTAATGACTTACGTGCATTGGATGGCAGGTGACTGTAGAATGCAGGGCTGGTGAGAATCTGCTTCGTGTTGCGGAGCGATGTGGAGTTACCGTACCCAATGTTGTAAGCATGTCTGAACATAACCTCTGATGCGAGGAATCTCTGGTTTATATCAATTTCCAGAGCCCATTAAAATTCAACTGCGATGCCTTTTCCTGTTTGCTTGAGATCTATTTGACCTCTGAAACTATTTTGAAAGCACAGTGGATCACGAACAAGGTTGCCTAGTTAGTTACCAGACCAGGCAAGGAGCATTTTGCAGGACATTAGTTCCGACGTACCTTCTTCGATGTAGAGGATTTCAGTGTTCAAGCTCTGAACCATTATGTTTCAGGAATTCTGCTTCGAAGGATCCTGTTGTCACTGTGAGATGGAAATTCCAGGTGGAGCAGCTGAGGTATGTATCTGAAGAGGCATGTGTCTTCATTTAGAGGAGATTTCAGCTGTTCTCTGCTGTAAGATTCCTACAATTAAGTTAATAGAAACCATTTCGGATTTATCAACTGTCTACAATGAATACTGGCTTTGTCTCATGTCAGATTTCTTATTTTATTTTTATTTTATCGTATAGTACGATAAGGAAACAATTCAAGTGTTGTGTTACATACAAGGACGAAATGTGTGTGTTCTGAAGCAGAGAGTGGTGATTGATGGTTACCGGCAAGTTTTCCTTGAAAGAGCTTTTTTGTTTATGTGAAATGCTCTATGGAGATCTAAAACCTTGTTCAACATGTCTCTCTTCTTCTGTACATCTATGTGAAGATTTCAACGTTCAATGTGACACAGACCTGAAAAACTTGTGAATCATTAGATGATAAGTTGCAGATGGATGAGAGCGAGGAAGGTTATTTTAATTGGTTTGTCGAATATGAAATGTGCGTCGAACCTTTTAAAACCTCCTCGGCATGAAGTGAACTACTGATATATCTCAAATCAGTCACTCTCTTATCAGTCTATCGATTAACCTCTAGTCTAATTCATGATCTTATCTCTAATATTCATCGCCTGGTTTGTTTTGTAGGTTGGATATCGAGCTGACGCAAGCGGAGCAGATTTAATTAGAAGTTGCATCTGTCCTGTAAGTGTACCTCGTTTTGGCAGTGTATGTAAGTTTTGACTCGTGTGAATATACTTACTTTATGGCTACATAACAGTATGAACTTTTTTATATATTACTTTGCTTTACACCGGACGAGATGAAACTTGAGAAACTAAGTCTATCCACTTAGGCCATATCCCACGTATGTAGTAAAAGCCAATCTCCTTCGTCATATGTCGAAGGTCCCATTTGCACTATTCCACTGCATTGGTTTTGATCTTGGAAATGCTCACGGAAGAAGTTGAAACACTGATGTCGATGTTTGTCTTTGTTGGCAGGTTCCGAAGGGTAGGAAAGTGGTGGAGGTGAATGTTTTAAGTGAAGATGACGTTTGGGGCGAAGGGGTTTTGTGATTCGTAAGCCACGTATCTGATTGTCGTGCATATCCATTAGATTATATACGCTGAAGTTTAAAGAGATTGGAGCAGGAGTTCGGGTGGTTTTGAATTTTTGATCCTTTCAGTGGTAAATGTAATTTGGTCCAATTGAAGAGAACATCTTCGTTGCAGAGCTTCTTGCAAGCGACAGTTGTCTTCTCTTGATGTTTTTTTTTGGGCCTATATTGCAACGTAGCACGTGAAACGTGGTCATTATCCAAATCTAATAAACTAGATCCTTGCAAAAATGACATTCTCTGAGATGCAATTGAGGATATCAACTGCTTTCATGAACCAGATATCTTTTAACTTGAAAAGCAAAAGGTCGTAAAGTACACACTGAGACACACACACATACACACACAGATATTCATATATATATATATATACTTAGTTAAATTCTTGAAAGTACTAAAATGTTAGGACGCAGCCTCAAAGTTCTGCTTATATCCGTGGTCAGCGAACACTCTCTTCCATGTTCAATACATCTTGTTTTTACGTCTTTATAACAAGAAGTGGCCTTTTAGCCTTACTTTGTGGGTGTCAACCGGAACTCACAGACCATTTCGTTTCAACCAGTACACACATGAGAGTACATACATGAGAGGGGAATGAATTCACTACACGATTACGTGGAAGTATTAAACTTCCTGCTGGCGATGACAGCCACTCCCACTTGCACGGTCCCATACAATTCTGATTCTGATATTTCAAAAGAAAGGCTGTATCATCTGACTTTCTCACTTGTGCAGAGACAGAGAAAACAACGCTCAAGGTAGGTTTACAGAGTATTGTTATGACAATATTCAGTTCGGTTTAGCCAAACAACAAATTATTAAGATTCGGGCTATATGTGTGCCAACAGAAAAAATGCAGGTACTCACAGGCTCAAGGGAAATATAGTCTCTGGCAACTTCCACTAGGTATTTTTCTTGTATACTGAATTTTCGTCCGGTATCTGATCGTTTATCGTCTTTATTGTCTTTTTAGAAGTCGTTTAGAACAGAAGTTGCTGAAAGTATGGACGGAGTGTCAAACTCCTGAAAACGGTCACGGACATGGTTGAATACTGGAAAGATGACCACGATGTGATTGGAGCTTCAGCCTTGTTTAGTTGATAATGCAAAAATACCAAGCAATGAATGTAAAATTACTGTGTCAGTACGATTCTCATGTCCGCGAACATAATGACTTATTTATGTGCAGTGGTCGTCCTCGAGTTTGCAAACATGTTTCGACAAACAAACAAACAGATTCTCTGTCCAACTCGAGTTTGCAAACATGTTTCGACAAACAAACAAACAGATTCTATGTCCAACTGAAGAAAATTTGAAGAGACATATTTGGGTAAAATTTATGAAGTAAAATATTTTTTTTATTCACATCCATTCCAACACATTCTAGTATTGGAAATACAACATCAATTTCAATACACATGGTTGTATGTATTCATTGTTCTAAGTTGCTCGCCATTTCAATATGTAGTAACAGATAATTACCAAAATGCAACATAATGGCAAAGATCCGATACCACGATACTAGAAACAATACAAAGAACAACAAGAGTAACGTATTACTAATCTATCGAAGAGTTTGAATTCTCAGGCGTCTGTCACTCCCAGAAATACTACGGTTGCTAAGTCTGAAGGAATCACATTGCAGCGTAAATCATACACCAATCTTGAAATTATTCCAATCAAGCATTTCAGAGTTCGATCGTGACTCTGTCTTGATATTAAGGGGGGAAAATTCCCGAAGTATACACTCATAAAGCTAAACATAGCTTCTAGTCACAAGTTTGCTTAAATCATGATCTAACCAATCGTTACTTAGAACACTCGAATTGAGAGCTTCTACCTCGGATGCGGTATCTTTAACAAATTGAAGTATCTTTTGCACGATGACAAACACTCAATTCA